CCCGGGCACCGCTCCCTCGCCTCGGGCGCTGCTCCCTCGCCTGGGCACCGCTCATTCGCATGGGGTGCCGCTCCCTCGCCTGGTGCGCCACTTCTTCGCCTGACACACAAGTGCTCTCGCCGACCGAGGCCTGGGACTTATCCATACTTCTCGGCCATGTGACAAGCTGTAAGTCTTGGGAATCCGCGCCAGCGCCTCCACAGCTGCTCACGGGCGGGATGGGTGAGTGCGGGATGGATGAGTGCGGGCGGGATGGGTCTGGCACGCCGCCCTCTCCATTATTGAGCGCAGCACTGGTGGGACATTCACGCTATAACCTATGAACGCGGCTGGGGTATTTGACAAAGCAAAGCATTAAATGCGTTTTGTTCTGAAGAGAAGTTTCAGTGATCATACTGCGTAGTGTGACAGCGCTCTTATTTGGGCTGGTATGAGGCTGGCCGGACGTGGTCAGGTCAGTCTTGTGGTTATGCTCGTAATGCACCTGAATCTGGTTTGAATACGTATTGCGTAAAACATCGGTGTGTAGTTATGTGGCGGCATGCCGCATACACATGCACGCCATACTTTTGACGATTTGTCACACAGGAATAGTGGGCATTCGAGATAGTCCGTTAAACTTGCGTAATTATCGTTCACCAGCGCTTCCTTCTCCAACATGATCAACGTGATTGATATCATCATGACCGTTCTAAACACCCACGTGCAATGTGTATTACACAAATTGTTATGCATCTGTATCTGTTCAACAGAAATGTAGCGCATGCTTCCAAAAGCCCAAATCTTGTTTCGTACGCGAACGCGAACAATCATTGTAATTTCATAGATGCTGATGTAATCTCACGTTTTGATTTGTCTTTAATTCAGTTGAATGACATGTATGATTGGATGACACAACTGACAAACAAGCACCAATCGATGATGACGAGGTGCAACCACATTGACTTCCATTAGTACTTACGTACACAGTGACTAAATATTCTGCCATGACTGATAAAACAAGTTTTGGCTTGATTTTTGTTCATACATAAGGCGGATGAACAAAAGTTACGCCACAGCTGTCCTTGTCTTTTGAAAGCTGCATGCTCTGGAAAGATAGGCCACACCAAAACTGCACCCCCGCCCAAAAAACCCACATCTAAGCAGGCACAGGAAGAAGGTGTTTCTTTTTAATGCCCTTTTCATACGTGATGCACTATCACCTGACCGCTCGAAAGATTACAGAAAACACACACACATAATTTGGCAACAAACGGCATTTTTCCTTCGAAGAAAGCCTTCACATTCGCGTCAGACAGCAATGATCAGCAGCCATTCGCTGTTCAACCCCACACGGGGACAGAAGCTTGCACCCAATATACACGCAACTACGGCTATGCCGCTTCTTTTCGGTTCGCCGCTTCCTACTGACGCTGAGCACGTCGGCACATGAGCCACGGACCTTTTCGCACGGCAGGCCAAGCTCCCCCAGGCATTGGTAGACCAGCTTCTCAGTCTTGCCCGAGGCGAACGTTCTTGCGATATTCTTGACGGTTATTTTGCCGTCCTGGTCGACTGAGAAGCAGAGTCGCATCCAGCTGCGACAAACAGTGGCAGTCAGCGGCGCCCCCCGCCGCTGGACGCGTACATTGATCCCAGCAGGCCGGTGGCCGTGCTCTGCCGGGCACATTGACGAGGTCCGATCGATGAGCATTCATGGGCCACGGCCGTGAAAGTGTTGACTCGGCGACGCAACAGCCGGGCTGTCGAGCGGAAACCGCCGGACGACTAGACTAGAACGGCTCACACGGTCAGCAGCAGCAGGCACAGCCGTTAACAGCAAGCACAACCGTCAGCAGCAGGCACAGCCGTCAACAGCAAGCACAACCGTCAATAGCAAGCACAACCGTCAGCAGCAAGCGCAACCGCTAGCAGCAAGCTCAATTGTCAGCAGCAGGCTCAATCATCAGCAGCAGGTACAACCGTCGGCGGTAGGCACAGCCGTCAACAACAGGCACAGCTGCCAACAGCAGGCACAGCTGTCAACAGCAGGCACAGCTGTTGACAGCTAGCTCGCCTGTCGATGCCAGGTGCAGTCGTCAACAGTAGGTACAGCAGGCACAGACAGCCAGCCGTTAACAGCCGCTGTCAGCTAGCCGCTGTCAGCATGCACTGCCGTTAACAGCCGGCACAGCCGTCAACGACAGGGCAGCTATCAACAGCTGGGGCAGCCGTCGACGGCAGAGACAGCTGCCAATAACTTGGAAATTTGTCAACAATAGGGCAACTCTCAACACGCGGAACAGCTGTCCCAGCAGGCAGATCTCCGCTAGCGACCAGGGCAAGGCCCAGAGGCACACTGGGTGCAGGTTAGATAGCCTGAGACGATATGTACGGAGCTTGAAGCAGCTACTCTGCCGCATACCGGCACATCACATGCCACACGCAGCACGGGTCGGGCAATCTAGACATCGCAGCACAACCAGAGGAACATATGTGATCCGTTGTGTGCAATGGATTTCCTGCCTGAACAGGTACAGAGCGTGCATTCATCACACAGATCGCAAAAGAAGACGCATGTGCGAGCGACGTCGAGTCGGATTGCGCTTTGCCCTTCAGTCGACTTACTTAATCTACTTTAATGGACTACGCGCAGCAGGCTCTAAAGGAAAGAGACAGGCTAAATGTTTCTGCTCGATGAGCCTTTTGAAGTTGAGCTCATTTTGAAAACTTGTAAAATTATTGTGACGGTGTTCACCGTATGAAATAATGTATCATCCTACTTCTTTCTCCAGATGTCTATGAGCTTTACGCACGCTAATTAAATATTTCAGTTTATAGATATGATTTAATCACTGAGTTTAAGAAATGCGTGCCGATTGGCGCAAAAACTGGTGATTTAACAAAAATAAACCATACATTACATCCCTGCGTATGAATCATCGCAAATATTTTTTTATCTTCCTAACCCGATTCCTCGACGTAAGGAAATGTATTCATTATTTTGTTCAAAAACATGGCGTTTCATTGTTTCGTGTTTCTAACGCTTGAGCTTACTGGAACCGCGCATTTAATGTGCTTTTCCCTGGTTTTGTCGAACAACAAAGATAGGCCAGGAAAGGTATCAGTATCAGCAGACAAGCATCACTCTACCGTCGTTTTTTTTTTTATCTCCGTCTTTTGATTGTGAGTGATCTTAAAGCCCTCTCTGAGATCTTGAAAACCGAGCAGGATGGTGCCCGAGCTCTCGTCAAACTGTGTCACACAGGTTTGAATGAGCCATTGTGAATGTAACCTGCGACGGCTCAATCCGGGACATGCGGGTCAGATTAGCGCTCCGTGGTCCCTCCTATTATGACAATGACTGAGCATAACACGACGATGCAGAAAACGGCGCTGAATAGCTTTTGAAACAGTCATGTAAGAGCAACAGTTATGGGTTTTCATACATCGCGTCAAGTAAAAGCGGTGAAGACTGTTATATTTGCTCGTCTGGCTGTATCGAAAGCTGAGAAAACCGCGCCAGTGGGGAAAACAACGTTAGGAAGGTAATCCAAAGTCGTACGATATGAGCCCGTGAGATTTAACTTGTTTGATCCCTAAAATGCAAAATCGGGTCGCAAATGTCAATATACCTGAACCTAGCTTGATTTTTCATAAGCGGGCATTGCAAAAGCAGCCACAGGGATACAATGCATTTAACAGTGATCAACTCTAGCAAACCAGTCTATGATACATAATTGGAGTTCAATCCTACCATACATGTTTTAATCTTTATTTTTTTAACGAAACGTCACCAGCATTGCATCAAAAACAGGCAGTAAATTATAAACTGTTAAGATCGGAACCTTCAAACTTCACAGCATCTGTTCAAATGACTTAAACTCAGCTAGCCAAACATGCAACAGCGTGATCAAAACCATTTAAAAACGACCACCATTTCCTTACTGTATATACCCAGACAATTGGTCACCCTGTCTATGTAAGCTGGTCTACCTCAACAGGGAAATTATGCTCAAATTAAATCACGAAATTATAAATGTATCCGAGCTAGGCGGTGGCGCAGCCTTGGGCTTGAGGCCGTATTTGGTTAAAACGCAGTTCTTCACCACAATGCTACTGACTATAATTGCAGAATCCGGTGATCAGACGAAATTATTTGGTTTTAAATATCGCACCACTATCCTGGGCAGCGGCGTGTGGTGTAAAACAGCCCCAATTTAGGAGTAAGACTTGTGGATCGCCGTGTGAATATGTGCACACGCAGCTGAAACAATGATTAAAACACCGGGGCAAACCAGAGTTGATAGCTCATCGATATGCTTGGCACTGTACATGCTAGCATTTGAGTCTGTTGGCCTGCTGGCAATGCGTAGACACTGTCGAATGGGGCTATCACCCGCTCGTAAAAATTAGCCCCCACCCCCTACTCAAATCATGATAGCACCCCCCATCCCAAGTCGTGGTAGCCCCTCCCGTCACGAATTCTGGCTGCGCCTCTGGTAGTACGTGACAGATATGCCGTGCGGCACGTGGCGGTCGTCAGGCATCTTCCAGTCACCTGCTCCGCCCAACCGATGAAGAGAATTTGGTTCACGGTCATAAGGTGCCCATCAAGGTTGGTAGCAAAGGACCCCGCTAGGCAGTTAAAGTAGAACGACCCAAGGTGGTCTGTACAAAACCGTGAGATTAGACACGCCACGGTGAGACCTGTTGTTATTTAATTAATCGCGGGGTTACACCGGACTTACAGACACGATGACTAACCGGCTAGGCGGGGGCCGGCCTGCCTATTACTATTTCAGCTAAAAGTTGCGTGCCTTCTGCTCCGTCAGTGATGAATATAGGCGACCAGTTGCTGGTCAGATTAGTTCCAACCCGTTATTAGGAAATTGATGGCTTCCACGCCATCATGTCCGACGAAAATATTGAGCGCTTGGTGTGGACCGCAACGGGCAACCTCCAAAACTTCTGCCATCCGACAGTTAACGAACTACTGGCTATGCATGTATTTGAACGTTATTGAGGCCGGGCAACCTCCCGCGTGTCTTAATACCAACAGCACTGCCAAAACACGTGACTTAATGTCATACACGACCCGACGGACGGCCTGCAGAGCGACAAGCTTCGGCCCGGTCTACGAAGCCCTGCGAGTGCCGGGTCCGAGGCTTCCCTTCTCGCCCCCGGCGGCGCCCCTCCGAGTGTCGCCGGCACCGCGACGGCTTCAGCGCACGTGTTGGGGCCCGTTTCCTGCGTCCGGCCGACCGTCTGGATCCATTTGGCGCCATTAAGCAACGTCCACCAGCACGATATTGCTAAAGCCAGTTGTCAGGGGCCGACCCCGCAGCGGGCTTTACCAGGAACAAGCACGAGGAAAACCGCGGCTTCTGCGTTGCGCCCGACCGCATCTGCGCCACTGGGCGTGTAGGTGGCTGTGGGGGTCCCGTCCGCCACCTGCCTGCTCTGGGACTAGCTGCCATTACTGACGTGCACGTCTCGCCCCTAGTCCCAGAGCCCCGTAACCGGCCCGGGCGACCTGAATGACTATCTAATCAAATACAATGTGAATAGTGGGCGTGAAAAAACGTGTGCTGGATGCCTGACCTGTCTTCTCTGTCCTCTTACCGACTTCGTCTCTTTCCTTCTTCGCCCCTACCCTCCTTCCCCGCTCTATCTTCGCTCTATCTTTTTCCCACTCAATCTGTCCCTCTGTCTCGCTACAACCTCTCTCTTCTCTGCGGACTATCTCTCCCTCTGCCATCCTACTATTTCTCTCTCCCGTTCTACCTCTCCCTCTGTCTTTCTGCTCCCTCTCCCACACCCACCCACGCCCACGCCCACGCCCACGCCCACGCCCACGCCCACGCCCACGCCCACGCCCACGCCCACGCCCACGCCCACGCCCACGCCCACGCCCACGCCCACGCCCACGCCCACGCCCACGCCCACGCCCACGCCCACGCCCACGCCCACGCCCACGCCCACGCCCACGCCCACCCACACACACACACACACACACACACACACACACACACACACACACACACACACACACACACACACACACACACAAACACACACACACTCTCCTTTTTTGCTCGTTTGATCGCTTTCCCCTCCTCTGTCTCCATCTGTCCTTGGCTATCTCCGCGTGGAGCTCCGTCTTTCTTGTCAGCGCGAAAAACCCGGAGGTCGATTTGCCTTCAAGTGCGGCTGGAGAAGTGTCTGGATCACACGGCTCAACACGATCTTCAGTGTCAGGGCGAACCGGCGCAATGGAGCGTCTAGAACTGACTGTACGTCCCCTGCTGCAAAGCAGCTGCGAGGCTGATCTCCATCGCAGGGTATCGCTGCCTAGCTGCCGGGAGTCTGCTAGCCGCTCTGTGATTCTGTCTGCCGACTCCGCTACCTCAGTCTACCTGCCTGTTCCGCTACCTTGGTCTACCAGCCTGTTCCGCTATCTCAGTCTATCAGCCTGCTCGACAACCCCAGTGCATCAGGCTGTTCCGCTACCTCTAACGGTTCTCCAAACCAGTGGGGGCTGCTGGTTGCCTTGTCTAGACTGCGCAGTGCAAGGGGCCAGTGAGGAGAACGGCGACGACCGGCGTCGGCACAAGGTGTTGGAGAGGCAGCGGGCGGTCGTGACAACGACGCTGAGTGTGGCACCGGTGCGGGGACGCGAGCAATGACCCCGACTGGCACGCCGGATGTCGTGGCTCGTGGTTGCGACGATGGCTGGGATGTTCGGACATGTAGACATGACGGTGTGGTGGCGACAGGTGTAATGTCGGGTTACGCAGAATGGTACTGGCCACAACAGATGTGGTATACGGGATGAAGAGAGCGTTTTTCCTGGTGCAGATGGGAGTGGGGTTGGGGGGGGGGGGGGGGCGGAGTCTCAACGATGTTGGAGACTGCTTTGCTTGTACAGGGTTGGCGAGGCCATTGCTATCAGCATTACGAGTGCGGTACACTTACTGCTTCTCCAAGTTTTGACGCACGCACGCGTTATTGATTTTGTTGTTGTTGGTGATACTTCGCAGCCCGGTCTGCCAAGTCTGCATGCAACAAGGCGGCAAATATCAGGCAAACAATAAGCAATTGACTACTTCAATCGGCTGTAACGCAGCACATGATCCAGCAATCGACATGCTCTCTGAGGGCTTCGCTCAATACTCAAGTCTCATTATTTTTCTCCCCTGCAATTTTCGTGTGGACGTTGGAATACGCGTGGTCTGTCGGAAATCCTGACAGCACTGCGAGTGAAGCCCTTTCCTATGCATAAGAATGGAATGCGAAAACAACGACGTTAGATTTCTGCCATCCATAATGTCGCCTCGAGCATTCCTACCAAGCTGATTGATGGCGTTGGGTCCCATGAAATCTTGTTATTATCACGACAATATTTACCAGTAAAGGGTGTATGCATCTGTACACCTGTGTGTTGACTCATAGGCGTACGTAGGACTCCAGTGAGCACAGGTAGTCCCTGGTATAGACGAGAGGTGTGCAGTGCTACCATACCATACATATGTACCATGACTCTAGCCTCGGACCCGAAGCCTTATCGTTGGTTCACAGGAATGATTATCATCGGAGATCATCTGATATCATCAAACAAGCGTGCAGGAATACCGTCGTGCTCAGTTGGGCACAAAGCTTGGCCTCGCCGTGTTCTGTAAACCTGTCCATATTCACGCCTCCGGGCGAGGTGCAGTCGAGGTGAGTCGCCTGGTGGCGATGGTCAGTGTGCAGTGCAGCGGAGTGTCACAATACCAGGTGCAGTCGAGGTGAGTCGCCTGGTGCCGGTGGTCAGTGTGCAGTGCAGCGGAGTGTCACAATCCCAGGTGCAGTCGAGGTGAGTCGCCTGGTGCCGGTGGTCAGTGTGCAGTGCAGCGGAGTGTCACAATCCCAGGTGCAGTCGAGGTGAGTCGCCTGGTGCCGGTGGTCAGTGTGCGGTGCAGCGGAGTGTCACAATCCCAGGTGCAGTCGAGGTGAGTCGCCTGGTGCCGGTGGTCAGTGTGCGGTGCAGCGGAGTGTCACAATCCCAGGTGCAGTCGAGGTGAGTCGCCTGGTGCCGGTGGTCAGTGTGCAGTGCAGCGGAGTGTCACAATACCAGGTGCAGTCGAGGTGAGTCGCCTGGTGCCGGTGGTCAGTGTGCAGTGCAGCGGAGTGTCACAATCCCAGGTGCAGTCGAGGTGAGTCGCCTGGTGCCGGTGGTCAGTGTGCAGTGCAGCGGGAGTGTCACAATACCAGGTGCAGTCGAGGTGAGTCGCCTGGTGCCGGTGGTCAGTGTGCAGTGCAGCGGAGTGTCACAATCCCAGGTGCAGTCGAGGTGAGTCGCCTGGTGCCGGTGGTCAGTGTGCAGTGCAGCGGAGTGTCACAATCCAGGTGCAGTCGAGGTGAGTCGCCTGGTGCCGGTGGTCAGTGTGCAGTGCAGCGGAGTGTCACAATCCCAGGTGCAGTCGAGGTGAGTCGCCTGGTGCCGGTGGTCAGTGTGCGGTGCAGCGGAGTGTCACAATACCAGGTGCAGTCGAGGTGAGTCGCCCTGGTGCCGGTGGTCAGTGTGCAGTGCAGCGGAGTGTCACAATACCAGGTGCAGTCGAGGTGAGTCGCCTGGTGCCGGTGGTCAGTGTGCGGTGCAGCGGAGTGTCACAATCCCAGGTGCAGTCGAGGTGAGTCGCCTGGTGCCGGTGGTCAGTGTGCAGTGCAGCGGAGTGTCACAATCCCAGGTGCAGTCGAGGTGAGTCGCCTGGTGCCGGTGGTCAGCGTGTAGTGCAGCGGAGTGTCATAATCCCATCGTTCAAGAGGCTGGGAAAACCCTCAACGTAAAAGCGTTCAGAATCTGCTAGAAGGTGGGGCGGATCGAAGCTTATCCACACCAGGAAGGAGTAAAACGTCTGACAACAAACTCGGGCTACAGAGAGGACATGGACAGGAGCTGAAGAGGAGCATAGCACCGCGCAGCACACATACTCCACAGCAACCCCGTGAAGTGTTTCCTCGGCTCGTAACAACACGGCATGCAGCGTGCACGTCTTTCCAACTGGTTCGCGATCAGAATGCATCACATTTAGACATCAATGCATGGAGGATATAAGGGATAATAGAAAAACGAGAGTACCCAAGCACGCATTCAAACCGCTGACCCAAAGTATTAGTGTTTTAAGGAGCAAGAGACAGAAAAAATATTACACAAACCAGATACAAGAAACAGCATAATGAGGCACACACCTTTTACGGGACGTATACCAAGAGTAACAACAGACCAGTGGCGTAAAGGAAAAACTCACAACAGAGAAAGAGAAAACAGTATTGAAATTAGGCCGAAATGCTTGCGAAGCTCGGCTCAAGCCCGGAAATCTTCGTGGCGGGACTTACTGCTTGATGAGACATGTCATGGGGCACACATTATTGGCTTTCGTGTTATGTGTGGCGGCGCGCAGAACTGACAGCCATACCTGGTGGACAATGACGCTGATGTCACGGACAGCACCGGGCCTGGTCCGGCCGGCTGCACCAGCCAGCCCGCCGATGGGTTCCCTCAACGAGGCCGTCACAATCGGGAAACCAACTTCGCTGCGTCGGTACATGTGGTTACGTTACCTCCGACAGGAGTTACCATATTGGTTAGGAATTCCAAATCGTCCATAGGACGAGTTTTGCCGTTTTGGAAAGGAGCTCTAAGCTGCATGTCATAATAGAAGCACAACCTTCTCGAATGAGAAAGAGTACATACGGTACGTGAGCACGAATGAAATCGCTATATATCACTGAAATAGTGATGCACCTTCATGAATTGATGTAAACAGCGCATATGTTTTGAGCGAGTTGTTGGCTCAGAGCTCGCACTTCATAGTCTCCAGAATTCCGAAAGCTGTTGAAACATAATGCATATGGACCAGACAATACCGGTAACCTTCCTCCTCGTAGAATAACCAGGAGAACGTATAGATAGATGCATTGATATTTCTGTTACATGCCTTTATCGATGCGAATATCAGTAGGTATTCATTAATCAGAGGATATTCATATTCGTTCCGATAAGTGCATACAACCGACATATCAACACATCTATATCTCTATTTTCTGGCTATTCTATGATGAATGAGGCTATTGGTAATGTCTTATCTATGTCCCCTTGCTTAGTTAAGCTAACTATCTATGCTTAGTCTTGTTAAGATGAAATATCTGTAAGCAATAAGTCAGGGCTGTGTTTTTTTTAAACCATCATTGCGCTAGTGTTAGACACATTTGAATAAACGCGCCGATTCTCGAGAGGATGGAGCTGGAGGCAAGTGGCCTGCTTTAGTCAGCGCAAGCTGTCTTACGGATGCTCGAATACCTCTTTTTTAAAAAGCTTAAATGATCTATTTAAGCCATCAAATTACCCGTGCCTCCTCGTCCACGCATATACAGCGCGGACGCCGTTCCCAGCGTCGCGTCCGAAACGATTCCACTGCGCGCATCGAGCCGGACGGGCACTGACCGGCATCGCCCGCGGCGCCGCAGTTGACCTGCACTGACCTTGGCCGTCTCCACATCGGGCAGGATCACGTGCTGCAAGTTGATGTTGACCATGTCGGTGCCACTGCAGATGCTCAGCGACTTGGCCTCGAGGTCAGCCCCGTGGCGCGCCTGCAACTGGTTCAGCAGCTTGGGGTCCTGCGGCGCCAGCAAGCTCGCTCAGTGGTAGGTTCTGGACGCGGACAGGGGTCACGGTCCAAGATCGGCCGGCTCGCTCAAGGGCGCCCCAATTAGCTTATATCTGCAGCTTTACTGGGTATGTGAGGTGGTCGACCTAGTTATCGGAAAAGGGCTGATTATAGAAAGGTTGTCTAGTAGTAGACGTTAAAGCAATAATTTAGTTTTGGGGCGGGCCCCGCTTCTTGTCACAGCCTTACCTTGATTCATCAGAGGTAAATACTCAAGAACATGATTGGTGAAGCAAGGAACACGAACGAACGCACCAGACAGAGCAATAGTGGATCATATATAAGATTTTCCTGGGAAAAATAGCACAGTTCTGTGGAGCGTTCTGCCATATAAAACTACTGTCCTGCCAGCTTAGGTCTATAGCCAAAGGCAAGGCCATTCTACGCGTCGATGTACTAAAACGGCGGGCCAGTGCTCTGCGTAACAATGCTGTAGTCCAAAGAGATCTGACTCTGTCCGTAAAGCCCCTCTGCCAAAGACTTGCTTGATGCATAAGTATACTGCAGAATGTGGTTCGCCCATTGCACTCAAGCCGTCACAGGTAATCATCGTATCAAACTACCTGTACCATGGGACGGGCATTTAGCGCATGGAAACGAACGGACGGAGGGGCGAATAAGCAGACAAGTGAGCAATGAAAAAGTGTGATACAGCCAATCTATTGGACAAACGAACTCACTCGGAGCCTGTTTAACTGGCAAGGGCAGTCCGAGGGCTTGGTCCCGTCAGAACGTAGAGGGGCGGGCTGAACCATCCACCCCTCCCCACCGCCCCGGCGTCGGCTGTGCGGCTATCGCTCACCCGAGGCAAACCGCCCGCCCTGATGTCGTTGACCTGGCAGAGCTCCAGCAGATCGGCGTCCTGCCGGCGAACGGGGCCGGTCAGACGCCGCGTCACGCCCCCCCCCCCCCCTCCCCCATCCCTCTCCGCCGCCGCTCAGACTGCGGCCCGCTGCCACTCCCACCCTCGGGAGCGGCAGATCGCTCGCCCCGAGGGCGTGTCGGTGGGGGCGGCTGCCAGGTTTTTACGAGATTGGCTTCGCTGAAGCCATGCAGCTCCCGCAACGTGCAAGTCTGCGCCGACATGTCGCGAACCCGGCACTTCGAAGACAGAAATTGTCTAGAACATTAAGGTTTATGGCAATCACACTTCAGCTGGCGTCGCGTGCACTGAGATTTTTAGCCCGCATTTCTGTGCGGATCAATTATTGTCGATCAAAACCACTGGCGTGCTGTAAAACATGCCAATATTATAAAAGGTAAAAGTTTACTACGGTGTGCTTAGATTACTAAAATTGGATTACTTAAATGCTTGACGTAGAATGTATTGAACTTGAATTAATCTGATAGGCTACACATAATTCGAGCTACTGATTTTCAGATCCAGTGCTACATCTTTACATCCAGTGCCCTTCAAATGATAGGCATAATAACACAGCGCGACGAGGCGTGGTCAGGCGAGACGATCAGTGGCTTCACAAGCCGCTGAAGACTTACGTTTCCATCGCTCTTCCAGTAGATGAAGAAGCCATACTCGTCCACTCGGAACAGGCACTGCGGCTCGAAGTCGACGTTGTCCTTCTCCTACGCAGGCAGGTGACATTCGCTGGTTAACAGTGTCCAGTGCAACATTGAGCAACACGGCCTAAGGACACAACCACGGGTATTCAGAGGTCGGTAAGGAATTGTGTTTTTTAGTCAGACTTTTCTCAGAGTCCAGTTGGCCTTTGTTCAAAGTATCGCCGAACCGTGAGTCGAATGCTCATGATTCGATTGTCATCACATACCCTCTTCGCATCAAACGCCAAAGCGTGCGAATATAGGTTTCTCACTGCGTGTCTACTATGTTTTTTACAATACTGGTGGCACACATTTGTCGTTATGTGATAAATAATTTGTTTAAACTAACCAGCTTCGCCATTTTTAAAAGAAAAATTCGCCTTGTGGTCAGCTATAAAAGGAGCAGGGCGATACGGAGCTGCTCTTTCCCAGCCCTGTCTCGGCGGCTCACATACCTCTGTCCACCTGTACAGCACACAGCCTTGTGGCGGTTCACATACCTCTGTCCACCTGTACAGCACACAGCCTTGTGGCGGTTCACATACCTCTGTCCACCTGTACAGCACACAGCCTTGTGGCGGTTCACATACCTCTGTCCACCTGTACAGCACACAGCCTTGTGGCGGTTCACATACCTCTGTCCACCTGTCCAGCACACAGCCTTGTGTGAGTGCCTCTGGCACGGGTATGCGCCAGTTAAAGTCAAACTTCTTCGTCATGGTGTGGCGTTACGGCAGTAGCACTGCCACCCTGAGGATGTCAACGGCACGTCAGAACAAAAGCACAATTGTAGAAAACTAACTTTGGGCATCGGAGAGCATGATCAGTTGATGAGCAGATCCGGTCTCAAAACTCCCGCGGGCTATGACGCTATTCCAACTATTTCTTGGAGAGAGGGGAGGGGTGTATGGCCAAAAGCGATCACAAACGAACGCTGTTCCCGCTTTAGAATGTGACAGCAGTCACGTGTCGAGCGTTTCAAAGCATGACGTCCGCAGCACAGCGCGACGCCCACCAGCGCGGCTGCGCTTGTATTTGTGCGCGTGCCTATGCATGCCTATTGGCTGGTGTGTTTAGTTCAGAAATGAGCGATCTGCTTCCGCACAGTCCACAGGCCATGCGTGTCCCGCCTAGAATCAGGAAATTCGGCGCCGGGCGGAATTATTTACGGACTGTGCCATCAGTCACCGCCGTAAGGGATCATCAAACACGAGCTCGCCATGCCTGGCCAGACCCACCAGAGCTTGGATGTACACTACAGCCAATCGCACTATTGCACTGCACGCTACCGCCGATGTTTTATGCGGGTTATTAGTGCTCATGCAAGGTACACGTTCGCAACGCGATCATCGTCGGGCACGCACTCAAGGAACCGGGCCAGCTCGGCGGCTGCCCGGTTTCTCCCCCGGCGGCTGCCACGAGCGTAGGTATCACAATATCTCCCCCTGGCGGCTGCCACGAGCGTAGGTATCACAATATCTCCCCCTGGCGGCTGCCACGAGCGTAGGTATCACAATATCTCCCCGGCGGCTGTCATGAGCGTAGGTATCACAATATCTCCCCCTGGCGGCTGCCACGAGCGTAGGTATCACAATATCTCCCCGGCGGCTGTCATGAGCGTAGGTACCACAATATCTCCCTCGGCGGCTTCCATGAGCGTAGGTATCACAATATCTCCCTCTGGCGGCTGCCATGAGCGTAGGTATCACAATATCTCACCCGGCGGCTGCCGTGAGCGTAGTATCACAGTGAGATATGCAAGCACTTGATAATGATGGGGCTTGTCTCCTGTTCGCATCTGGCCGTCCGTTCATCATCCGCGAGCACGCTGGTGAAAATGCCAAGAAAACAACTCTTTGTCCAAACGCCATTGTATTTAAATGCAACTGGTTTGATTAAAACATACAGTGCTGAGATCGGGCACCATTCTTAAGAAGCGTCCAACAGAGGCCTGCGCGTGATAGCGCGTGAGCCTCTGCACACATCGCCGCACACGTTTACCAATATGAATGCCTGTGTTCTCCTCAGCCAGCACTTCTTAGTCCCGCGCCGAAGCGGCACCGGATCATCGATATGTAGGGCCAGCTTCTATCCACGTTCCTCAGCTGCTCGCAACTGGTGAATTTTACTTTGCAATTGATATCGAAAGAGGAGGTGAGATGATGATGACGATATTACAAGAATAACACGCTCGATGACACTGCCTGCGGGCAAATGCCTCGCAGGTAATAATAACAACTTGCAAAACAACAGCATTCCTTGTTGTTGAAAACTGCATGAATTTGCGCCCAACGCTTTTAAAGATAATGAACAACGCTACAAAGATATCAGTTTTAAAGAGCGTAATCGCTATTGAAGAGCAAGCTGCCAGGTGAAGTCGAGTTTTCATAGTTCAAACGAGACATTTTAGATCAAACGAGTCATCTCTGCTAGCGGCCTTACTGGTCGCAATATCACTTTCACCTGATGGCTGCACGGTCACGCGCCAGAGGTGCCGCTAGATTTGCCCCGTCCATTGTCCTCCATTGATCCCGGCCCAAGCGCGCTGCGAACCAGGTCAGGGCGGCTTCAGAAAAGCCAACACGCGATGACTGCTTCGGTGTTTCAGCTATTCCGCACCGAGGAAAGGCCGCCGGCGTTTGCCAGTCTATCTACATGAAGACTCATTAACATCCCGAAAAGACTTAACAAACAACAGTGAGGTTTAAATAAGACAGCAGAAATAGCTTTATTCCTCGGAGAGAAAAAAACAGCGGAGTTGAGATGTAGATGCGTTGAAATTTCGGCAACATGCCTTTTTCGAAACGAATAGCATAAGTGAAATCGAAATTGCCTCCCGATGATCTTACCTGACTTTTTAGGTTTTGAAAACAGTGAGACAGTTTTTTAAAGGGCTCGGACATTTAGAGGATTAAACAAGGAGGAATCGCTAGCGAGTGCTAAGATAGGGTGCACATCTGAGAACAAGAACACGCAGAAAATACCTGCTAATGCAAATTAATTCAATTAAACACGAATCACCTTTGACCGGGCATCACGGGCATCACGAATCACGCCTGAGTCGAGCCTGCGAGCGAGTTAAAGCAAACAGGCATCATACGTCATACATCAGTTATGCATGCAAGCGGTTTTAATTAAACACGCGCCACGCATCACGCGTCAAGTATCATTTACACATGTAAATGATTTTAAGCTAGCGCACATCACACATCAAGGCACATGTCATGCTCGCATAAGCGGCTATAATGAGCACTGTACGCTAAGGTTTGATCACTGCCTTTTTATAAAAAAACAGACTTACTTATTTTCCTGTCTGGGTGGTCCCGAGCTCCGCAGATGACTTTAAGATCCAAAGGGATATAGAGTCCATAGATCCCTGGATTTCAGCCTGAGCGTGTTTTGCCGAAAATGGTTATCGAAATGAAAAATTAGATCGTCAAACATCAAAGTAATCTGTGGAGCACAGGAGCACCCAGACAGGAAATAAGGGAGTCTATTCTTACAAAAAGCCGGCGACCAAACACTAACCTGCAGGATTTATCATTGCCGAATATGCGAACTTAATGCGCCTTGATGTGCGATGTGTGCTAGCTTAAAGTCGTTTACAGGTGTAAGTGATGCCTGATGCGTGATGTGCGATGCCTGTTTAATGGAAACCGTTTGCATACATAATTGATGTGTGATGTGTGACGGCTGTTTGTTTCGACTCACTTGCATGCTCGAATGAAGCGTGATGCGTGATGCCTGTTTACTTCAATTCGTTTGCATTTCCATGCATTTTTCGCGTATTCAGTTCTTAGGTATACACTGTATTGTAGTAATGGCTGGCAATTGTTTCTTGTAAATACCCTGAATGTTGGTGTCCTGTGAAACTGCGGGTCGCTGTTTCAATAAGAAACCTGAAAAGTCAAGTAGGATCTTCGGCAGACAATTTTAATTCTCTTCTGCTATTCGCTCCGATAAAGGCATGTTATTGCAATATCAGCTCATCTATATCTCCATTTTCCTGGCTGTGCCCCGAGAAATAAGGCTATTGCTGCTGTCTTATTTACGTGCATAATGCTCCTCGCAAATGCACTTGACAAATTACGCAGCAGTGAGATTTCGTAGGTTTTCGGCATGTGCTTTCGGCATCTGTTGACCTCAGAAAACTTTTGTATCAGACGTCGACAGACGTAATGTTTGTCAAATCTAGACAGATCTGCAAAACGACAATGATATTTGGTCTGATATTTTTTATAATGATATTTGGTTTCAGCTGCAGCCCACCACGTTTCTGTTTGCCTTAAAGCGGTCTTTATTTCACACCTGTTGCTTCAGAGCTGAAGTGTGCACGCTCCGACAGTGCACCTGAGGCATTGGAATTCAATAAATCAATCGTTCACATTGCCTTACTCACTCGATGACCTTCAGCAAGGTCGAGACTGCCGTCGCGCGGGCTAGAGCCGACGGGCAGGCGCGGGCAGCGTCAGGTACTAACAACCTGCATCGCTGTTATGGCTCTGAGAACTGAACCACATCCGCTCACACTATGTTTGTGTTTCATGACAGTGCGTGTGGCGGGTTTGCATTTACCGGTGAATCGTCCACACGAACGGCTACTGTCAGCGGCGAACGACCACTTCTCCACAGTAATCAAGTCAGAGCGGATCGCTCAGAGACATCGCCCGGTGCAAACGAAGTCAGGGTCAGAAGCCCCGGCACCGGAACAGGGTCGTGCGGGCCATACCGATAGCACAGTGTCTGTCCGAGCAATGTGGGCCGCAATGCCGCCTAAACATGTAGTGCAGCAACAGTGAGCTGCTGCGCTGGCGCGGACAAAAGCTAAGCTCCGAGCGTGGGCTGCTGTGACCGTGACGTCAGCCACAGTACGGCCAGAGTCAGAACACGAGCATCTGTTGCTGCATGGCAAGCCAGGGCAGTCCGAGCACGCGCCGCAGGGCTGAGTTATGTGACGTCTTATAGGGAAACCCTCGGCCGCTTGTGTCGTCGTCATGGCTATCATTCGGGATTTAAGACGCACTCAGCTGGTGAGGCTACATATATATATATATATATATATATATATATATATATATATAGTACGGTGAATGGCGTCGCCTGCCTCTCAGCCTGGCAGGAGGCGTCCGCTTGAGCGTTGTCGCCGTGATAGCTATAGAGCACCAACATGCTGATACTCTGGGGTAACAGGCCGGCGGCTGTTGCCGTTAACTAGACACCAATGCACAAGTGTTGTAACGGCTAACCTTAACTGGTAAACAACGTATAACGGCGTAACGGTTCACCCACAGTTTTCTTGAGCAGCTTCTGATCGGCGCAAGATAAATGCGCCAAATGTTCCATGACTGTCAAGGCACCCGTTTGACACATGCTGTCAGAACAGTTTGGTGCGATGTCACACCTCGAAGCTATTAAGCTACTAGTAGGGACTGGCTTCTGGCACTGTCTGACCAGAAGCACTGTCTGACCAGAAGCACTGTCTGACCAGAAGCACTGTCTGACCAGAAGCACTGTCTGTGCTTCTGGAGAGAATCGCTCAAAATTCCCGATCATGCTCCACTGCATTTTGATACAATTCATCACCAATTTATTGATTTGACATTGGTCAATGCATACAATGATTCAGCGTCGTGACAGTCAGGAGCAATGATAAGGTAGAAAGCCTCAAGCGCTTCCCATTTGTGACAAATCAGTCATAATCGAACACACCCACAACACGGACGGTTTCTAGACGGGTCGGTGTGAGTTGCAACCGGTCACGTGACTAGGCAAAGAGCGCGCGTCCCACAAAAGTCCATGTTACAGCCCAGTCACGCGCTAACCTTGACCTGACCTTCAATGCTGGCCTTTGATAGCATCACGGCGTGTTTCAAACGCAGAAAAAATTAATTTGGTACCAACTTTTAGGTTATACGGTAGATAATTTGGAGGAGAAGGAGAAGTTGCAGAGAAAGAGAATTTGGATAATATGCCTGAAGTTCTTTTATGCAAGTAGTGACTATATGTCACGTAAAAAATATTAATGAAAGGTCAGTGGCAGTCTCAATGTCGGTGTCGGTTTCTGTTAAATTCCCTCCAATCCGACAATTTTTCCCCATTTTTCGACGGAGTGAGGCACAAGGAAACCCCAGGCGGTGGCAATTCGCGAAACTAGCTGACGCGGCGTCAGCCAGGTCAGCCAGGGCCGCGGCGACGGCCAGGTCGGTCAGCCCCGGGGAGTGTACTGACGCGGCGTCAGCCGGGTCAGCCGAGGCCCGGGAGTGTGTGCTGTTACAGCGTTAGCCAGGTCAGTCGGGGCCCGGGGGTGTGTACTGTTACAGCGTCAGCCAGGTCAGCCGGGGCCCGGGAGTGTGTGCTGTTACAGCGTTAGCCAGGTCAGCCGGGGCCCGGGGGTGTGTACTGTCGCGGGGTCAGCCAGGTCAACCGGGGCCCGGGAGTGTGTGCTGTTACAGCGTTAGCCAGGTCAGTCGGGGCCCGGGGGTGTGTACTGACGCGGCGTCAGCCAGGTCAGCCGGGGCCACGGCGTCAGCCAGGTCGGCCAGGTCCTGCAGCTGGTCGCCGCCACGTCAGCAAGAGCCCGGGTGCATTCCACCGGGGGCGTTGGACGCGCTCCAGCGACCAGCCCAGCCCTGTTTGTTTTTCCGGCACAGCAGCCACCAGCAGCGCCGATCGACGCGATCAGAGGACGCTCATTGGCCGCTGGCCACGTGTACTCGCGCCGCGAACTTTGCGCCGCTGTACTCGCGCCGCAGACTTTGCACCGCTGTACTCGCGCCGCAAACTTTGCACCGCTGTACTCGCGCCGCAAACTTTGCACCGCTGTACTCGCGCCGCAAACTTTGCACCGCTGTACTCGCGCCGCAAACTTTGCACCGCTGTACTCGCGCCGCAAACTTTGCACCGCTGTACTCGCGCCGCAAACTTTGTACCGCTGTACTCGCGCCGCAAACTTTGCACTGCTGTACTCGCGCCGCAAACTTTGCACCGCAGTACTCGTGCCGTGTACAGTGGCCCAAACAGTGCGAGCACACCGGTGCACTGCACACGAGCACAGCGGCGTGCGTGCCTTGTGGGCGCGAGCAGTGCGGTGCACGGTAAACTTGCGTGCGTCCGGCCTCGAAACTCAAGGAGCACTGCACTCCCGGTGAGCACTGAACGCTGCTTGGCCTGGCGCAACGACATGCATGGCCGTAACGCAGTTGGTTACTACTCTTGGGCCAACGTGCGAATGATACACATTCCTGATGAACCGCGTTCTTCTACACCCATTGTTAGAACGATCACAGTGCAAAAATGGCCTCTGAGCCGCCCCACAGCTGAACATACAGATGAAGGTCGTTGCCACTTTCCCTGATGCGGTGTTGTCATAGTGGATGGTAGGAACTCGATCCCCAATCCGACCCTTTCCATGCTCCCAACCTCCGCAAAGGTGTCGACTTGCATTGTACTTCGTTGCAATGCATTCCAGCATCTTCTGATGAACCCTGGGTCAGGGGCGTGAGAGCCTTCCGAAGATGAGGGAGAAGAGAGAGAGAGAGAGAGAGAGAGGGAGAGAGAGAGACAACAAGGAAGCCTGTCATTCGTTTCGTACCCTACAACGCGAGAAGCCTAAAGCCGAGTGATTCCAAACGTGAAGCACACCCGCCGGCTTCTGGTTGCGGCGGCCGACCTGGGCCTTCGCTCAGAGGCGTGGTGACGTACCTGCAACGGTCGGAGAGCGGCGGGCGCGCCTGCGGCCCGGCGGCGGCGGTGGCCGTGAGTGAGCCGACCACCGACATCCCGTCCGCCGACCTCTCGCCCGGACGCTGCGCACGCAGCCGCCGCCAATCAATAGTGCGCCGCCGCTCCCGGCGGCCCGCCGACGGCCCGCTCTCGGCCGCCCGGCCAGCCGCCGGTTGAGGAGCCGACGCATAGATCGGTAGATAGGCCGACTGTGATATTTGAAGCTATAAACTACCCTAGATAGCATGTTCCTCAAAACAAAAGATTGATCGGGGTCATCTTGGGTCAGAAATTTCACCTAACCAACATGAAGCAAAACTAAGGAATCTTCTAACGTCCTGGTGATAAAGAAATTTTAAAAAGCGCCCAAAACCTTCTGACACACGTTTGCTGATAAAAAAGCAATTTGACTTTTAAGTTGATCTGGCCTTCTTTCTTACTCCAGGTCAACGCAATTGGTTGAAATTACCATTTCATTTGTTTAATTGTCTAGGACACCATCTCAAAGTTGCATGATTTCGTCTGGCATGCGGCCACTGCTGCATCAATTTGAAATATTCCCTTGAAATTGCCTAAGCCCACAGTCATTACCTGGCCACCTTGACCTACTACAGATTAGCGACCTTGTAAGGAATACCTAATTGCTTACGCCGAGGGACTGACTGTTCAAATGGTTACAGCTGCATAAAGCTTGGCGGGACAATGCCGCGCTGCTCGGAAGTAGTGTTGGGAAAACCTCAGACGAGGCTGCTCAAACTGGCCCACTCTCCATCCGAGCGCGTGTTCAAAATAGTATTCTGGCTTTTTCAGCAGTCGACTCTATGATACTTATAGCCATGCTGTCAGCCTTTTAAGCATTTTTTTTCCTAATAGATCGCGACTGATCACTCAGTTGCGAGGGTTATGACAGTGAGGTTTGTTGCCAACCGACGATGCAGTTTACTTGTTGACAACTAGGACATGCTACTCGTTTATGTTACAAATATACATGAACTTAACGTAAGTTATATCAGGTCTGACTGCATGTGAGGGTGAGAAGTCAGGTCATCGGTGGGGAAGGGTATGCATTTTCGAAATCTTTGCTAGACCAAATATATCCAGTTGCTCTTTTGTATGAGAAAGATGGCACCTGTACTCACAAACAATCTCTCATAATGATCCACCGCATGAACGCCATTGAAACTAACACTGCGGGACCAATTGAAGAGTTTTTTTATTTCTTTGGTCAAGATCACGTCAGGTCATGACAATGCAAACAGGTAAGTACCGATAGACATGGTTTGCAACGCGGTTCGCGCAGTCGGGCTGTATTGGCGACTGCTCACGTCTCAGCTCACGGTCGTGGTAACTGACCAATTCATTGGGTGTTCGACAGCCAGTGATGGGCGGCAGCAAGCAGCATCACGACGATGTTGCGCGGAGAGAAAGCAAGTGGCGCAGCATCAGCATGGTAAGAACCGGCGGCTCCAGTTTGCCTGCCAACATATCCCCCGGTGCTGCGCTGTGACGCATGAGCACGCCTGGTAAGCGACTGGATCGCCTCGATAGCACACAGATCTCCCAGCGCCCTGAACACACCAGTGGGATCACTGTAGGTGGCGCACACGCTCCAACCCAGCGTCTCCCCGGTAGGCAAGATATGAACGTCAGCACGAGCACCCGACACGACCCTGGCTCCGTAGCTCACCACTCTCTGTGCCCTGTGCAGATGGCAGGCAGCAGTCCCGCTCTGAGAGTCCCACAGCAGTCCCGCCCTGAGAGTGCCGCAGCAGTCCCGCCCTGAGAGTCCCACAGCAGTCCCGCCCTAAGAGCCCCGCAGCAGTCCCGCCCTGAGAGTCCCACAGCAGTCCCGCCCTAAGAGCCCCGCAGCAGTCCCGCCCAGACAGTCCCTCAGCAGTCCCGCCCTGAGAGTGCCGTAGCAGTCCCGCCCTAAGAGTGCCGCAGCAGTCCCGCCCTGAGAGTGCCGCAGCAGTCCCGCCCTGAGAGTGCCGCGGCAGTCCCGCCCTGAGAGTCCCACAGCAGTCCCGCCCTAAGAGCCCGCAGCAGTCCCGCCCTAAGAGTCCCACAGCAGTCCCGCCCTGAGAGTCCCACAGCAGTCCCGCCCTGAGAGTGCCGCAACAGCCCGCCCTGAGAGTCCCGCAGCAGTCCGCCCTGAGAGTGCCGCAGCAGTCCCGCCCTGAGAGTCCCGCAACAGTTCCGCCCTAAGAGCCCCGCAGCAGTCCCGCCCTGAGAGTGCCGCAGCAGTCCCGCCTGAGAGTCCCGCAACAGTCCAGCCCTAAGCGCCCCGCAGCAGTCCAGAGTGTCGCAACAGTCCCGTCCTAAGAGCCCCGCAGCGGTCCCCGCCCTAAGAGCCCCGCAACAGTCCCGCCCTGAGAGTCCCACAGCAGTCCCGCCCTGAGAGTGCCGCAACAGTCCCGCCCTGAGAGTCCCGCAGCAGTCCCACCCTGAGAGTGCCGCAGCAGTCCCGCCCTGAGAGTCCCGCAACAGTCCCGCCCTGAGAGTGCCGCAGCAGTCCCGCCCTGAGAGTGCCGCAGCAGTCCCGCCTGAGAGTCCCACAGCAAGTCTCGCCCTGAGAGCCCCACAGCAGTCCCACCCTGAGAGTGCCGCAGCAGTCCCGCCCTGAGAGTCCCCGCAACAGTCCCGCCCTGAGAGTGCCGCAGCAGTCCCGCCCTGAGAGTGCCGCGGCAGTCCCGCCCTGAGAGTCCCACAGCAGTCCCGCCCTAAGAGCCCCGCAGCAGTCCCGCCCTAAGAGTCCCACAGCAGTCTCGCCCTGAGAGTCCCGCAACAGTCCCGCCCTAAAGGCCCCGCAGCAGTCCCGCCCTAAGAGCCCCACAGCAGTCCCGCCCTGAGAGTCCCACAGCAGTCCCCGCCCTGAGAGAGCCGCAACAGTCCCGCCCTGAGAGTCCCGCAGCAGTCCGCCCTGAGAGTGCCGCAGCAGTCCCGCCCTGAGAATCCCGCAACAGTTCCGCCCTAAGAGCCCCGCAGCAGTCCCGCCCTGAGAGTGCCGCAGCAGTCCCGCCTGAGAGTCCCGCAACAGTCCAGCGCTAAGAGCCCCGCAGCAGTCCGTCCTGAGAGTGCCGCAGCAGTCCCGCCCTGAAGTGCGCAACAGTCCCGCCTAAGAGCCCCGCAGCGGTCCCGCCCTAAGAGCCCCGCAGCAGTCCCGCCCTGAGAGTCCCGCAGCAGTCCCGCCCTGAGAGTGCCGCAGCAGTCCCGCCCTGAGAGTGCCGCGTCCCGCCCTGAGAGTCCCAGCGTCCCACCCTGAGAGTGCCGCAGCAGTCCCGCCCTGAGTGCCGCAGCAGTCCCGCCTGAAGTCCCCACAGCAGTCCCGCCCTGACAGTCCCGCAGCAGTCCCCCTGAGAGTCCCGCAACAGTCCCGCCCTGAGAGTGCCGCAGCAGTCCCGCCCTGAGAGTGCCGCAGCAGTCCCGCCCTGAGAGTCCCACAGCAGTCCCGCCCTGAGAGTCCCACAGCAGTCCCGCCCTGACAGTCCCGCAGCAGTCCCGCCCTGAGAGTCCCGCAACAGTCCCGCCCTGAGAGTGCCGCAGCAGTCCCATCCTGAGAGTCCCGCAACAGTCCCCGCCGTGGTGTCGAATTTCGCTGAGACAGAAAAGGACGGAACAACGCTTTTTAGTAACGTTGGAGATGTGCTCTTCCCAGGAAAGGAAATGACTATCAGTACAGCTTAGCATTTTTGCACGAAGGAATATGGCGTTAGGTTGTGGCCGAACATGTCAGTATCAAATAGTTTGGCGTTCGTGAAGTTTTAGGTTGTTCCGAGAAAGCACAGGGTAATGAAGTCTTGTTTGGGCTCATTTTCAAGCAGTTAGATGTGAAATAGGCTCGAACAGTGCGCTGGTTGCCCTCCCGCCAGTCCTTAGGGTGATGAGATTGTCGAAACCAGCAGTTCGGTATCATGGGCATAGGCTGCTAGGCGCTCGTAAGGTTGCAGGAGAATAGGCGGTTTGTGAAGATGCTGAAGCGGGTTCGTCTGAGCAAGGACCTCTGGGAGACACTGCGGGACAGTAGCAAAGTTAAGGAGCCACCTTTCACTCCTTGCGGCGGTCACCCAGGTAGCATCAAACTATCTGAGGTCGATGCCATATCATTTCTACTTGCACAGAACACCACGATCATTGCTGTCGAAGGCACGACTGGGGTCGATGGACGTAACATCTCCAGCATCGATACGACACGTGATCCATTCGACAGCGCCCTCTGACGGGCCTGTTGCAGGGGCGTCCTCCGACGTCAATCGGGGGCGTCCCCCGACGAATGACATTGCCCGTCTGTACACGGACAGGCGCCCTGACCTATGGAATTGGACGAGGTATGGCTGACATCTGAGTGTACACAGTTTTTCCTTGCATTTCAGATAGCAACGGCTAAATGGCAATGGGTCTAAAATTACCTGTCTTGTTCCAAGGGCCACACTTGTGCAGAGAGATGGCAGTCGCCAGCCTCCAGGCTGTGGGGAACAGACAAAAGAGCATTGTTACATTGACAAGACTCAGTAAATGAGGTCCGAGGACAGGAAAACACTGACGCACAGCATGCAGCGGCACACCACCATGCCCCACCGCCCGGGAGGACACCAGCTGGCGCATCGCCAACGCCAGCTCAGGCGGGGCGGTAGGCCGTCACCGCAGGCTTCCCGGAGTGACACGTGGAGGCCTCAGCGGGAGCGCGGGCAAGTTTTACTGCTAAGTGAGCAGTGATGCACAAGCGATTGAAATGTTCTGCTTGCTCCGGTGGCATCGCCTCAATGTTCTGCTCGCTCCGGTGGCATCTCCTCAATGTTCTGTTTGCTCCGGTGGCATCTCCTCAATGTTCTGCTTGCTCCGGTGGCATCTCCTCAATGTTCTGCTTGCTCCGGTGGCATCTCTTCAATGCTCTGCTTGCTCCGGTGGCATCTCCTCACTGTTCTGCTTGCTCCGGTGGCATCTCCTCGGAAGCGTTTCCCACCTTTCGCAGGATGCAGTGCACAGCCCCGAAAATTCAACCAAAAACATTATCAGCATGTTCGCTTGCAAGCGCTCAGGGAATCTCATTCACGGTAGAAGACATTTCTTTTGTCGCAA